ATACTTTTTCTAACAAATGAATGTTGACAGTGAAAAGGATGTTCAATAAACACATAATACAATATATTGTTAGCTGCTGTTCGTTTATCCAGAATCTTTTTATCTATTAACAGGACTTAGATAAAGCACTGATTTTCTAGTTCCGATTACTAAAGATTTGTGTCTATGTGTGATCCAGTGTTGACTCCTGCTGATTGCCTGGACTACTCCCTACAGTTTTCTTGGCAAGATTTCAGAAGTAGTTTGTCATTGCCTCCTTCTTAGGGCTTAAAGGGAATGACTGGCCCAAGATCATTTAGCTGGTTTCAAGTCCAAGATAGGATTAGAACTCAGTTTCCTGTGCTCTAGCCTGGTGCATTAACTACTACAGTATACTAAAGCAAGTATATTATAGAATTATGGAGAATTTAAAGAGTTCACAGATTTTCTCTCATGGCTTTATATGCATGCTCTGTGGGAGAAGAAAACCTCCTTGCAATGCCTCTATTTCTAAAATCAATCATTATGGTGGCAAACTTGGTGTTTGTGTTGGAGCCTAATTTTTTTTCTAAGTGGGCCTTATTTAAAGTACTATGTAGCATATAATTTTTTTAGGCAGTACAACTAAAGAGAAAGAAATAACAAAACCATGATTTAGGATCTGAATCAATTTTTTGGTTTGCTGAACCAGATTTATCAATGTTGAAGTTGCTTAAACATTTCATTTGGGGGGTTTTTCAGTGTCAGTCTGGAACTGAATACCAGGAACTGAAAGAAGAATGTGATTATTAAGCTATAATAACCCCCAGAGTTCTCGCATGAACTTTGTACTCAAGACAAAAAAAGGAGCAAACAATCTTCCACAAAAATGATGAATCCTGCATTTTTTGTGCCTGGCTGTAGCCTCTTGGAATCTGAAGTTTTGTTTCTTCCTTCATATTTTCATTATAGATGCTAGGACTGAATCAAAGACTTTACCTTATAGGTAGTCCTCAATTTATAATCATAATTAGTACCAGAACATCTGTTGCTAGGTGAGGCAGTTGTTAAATAAGTTAGCCTCACTATAAAAAATATTTTGTCATGGTCATTAAGTGTATTGCTACAGTTGTTAAGTAAATCTAATTTCCCTATTGACTTTGCATGTTAGAAGCACCCTGAAAAGGACGATAATGCTGATCATGTCACCCCAAAATGCTGCAACCATCATAAATACATGCCTGTTGCCAAGTTTCTGAATTTTAATCACATGTTCAGGGGATGTTATGACAGTCATAAGTGCAAGGATCAGTTATAAGTCAATTTCTCAGCATTGTTGTATCTTCAGACGGTCATTAAACAAATGATTGTAAATGGAGGACTACCTCTAGATTTGTTTTCTTCTGAAGTTTAGAATCCTGGAAGAACCAGTTAAGCCAGCAGAATAATTTTGAGAATCAAAAGTCATGCTCCATGTAAATATGTAGCTGCAACACCTTTCCCAAGACATAACAGTTAATGCCTCTGGGATTTGTCATGCATACATTTATAGCTACAGCATAATTGTATTTTTTTTTCTTTGAAAACTTGAACTCATAAAACTGCATTTGAATTTTTTTTTCTTGTGCTCCAGAAGCTTGGAGGTGATTTGGAGGAGGGAAATAATGAACAAAAGAAAAGTTAAAAGAATTGTTTCTCTTTATCTGTTTTCACTTACCTTCTCCAGAGCAGCTTTTGAAAGCTAAAGCCTAAGCCATAAATACAGTGACTGTGTTCATACATTCAGGCACATATGGGTTTTTTCATTCCAGTTTAGGATACCTATATGAAAAGAGGGGGTTTATCTCCTCTTATAGCTGCATGTAGAATCTAGTTTGATTCCCAGTATATCAGAAAAAGGCCAGTTTTGGAAGCAGACTCAATAGAAGAGAATATATGTAGCTCAGGGCTGAACTGTGGAGTCCTTGGTGCTCTCTGAGCTTGGTGTTTGCTTGCAGACATTTTATTATCCAAATAGGTAACACCATCAGTGCTGGTGAGCATGGGGTCTGCTCTCTGTTTATATTCAGTAGTTTGCTCTGCCAGTATTGGTGATGATGTGACCTTTTTCCTTGGTACTACACCTTGATTACATATTGTTTTCTGCTTGATTATTTGTCTGGTGTTATCCCTGCTTCTCTGAGTATTGGTTGCTGGAAATGATGTGTTCTAGTCTTTTGTTTCCTTCTTAGTTTTTTTATGGTCTCTTTTGTATAAATGTGGTTTATCTTTATATTGTTGGATGATTTATCTGAACACCAAGCTTCCAGGAATTCCCTAGCATTTTTGCATTTAATTTGGTCTAGGATGCTCACAATGTCTCAGTTGAAACTTTGGTCGAGACTGTCCATGTGTTGTGAGATTAAAGCATGTTCATGGTGTCTTTTGACTTCTAGTTGATATCCATTGATGTGCTTGTTAGTTTTCTGCAGGTGACTCTTTTTTCTTCTTGGATTATTGAGTGTTTGGTTTATTTAAACCTTAAGATTTAAGTTTTTGGAGGGCTTTAGCTTTGTGTGCCATGGTGATGACATGTGGTTGTAATAGTTTGTTGTTTGTTTCTGAAATATTTTTGATGTATGGCAGTGTTATCCTTTTTATCCTTGTGTTAGTTATGTGGTAATGGGTTGAGTGGTCAGGTACTTTTTGATAAAATTACATGGGTCTCCATTTTGTTGGAAGATGTTGGGTAGGCAATGTTTCCTTATTTGGTGTCCTGGGTTGCTGCAGTACATTTGTACTCATCTGAATAATGTACAGACTACATATGGTTATATATGTGAAAGTGCTAGAATTTATAGCATCATTTGCATACAGAAGCAGATGGCAATGAGCTATATATAGCAAAAATCCAGACTGCATCAGATTTTTTTCCCAGCCATCCTAGCACTGCTATCTTATTAAATTCATGGTTTTGTACATACAAGAACCTGTAACACTTCCATACTGCCTCTTTACAGGCAAAAGAGCAGCTTGTAGAAAGGAATGTACTGACTGAGCAGTTTTTTCTTTATTTAATACTAGAAAGAATTCAAATACCCTTTCTGCAAAAAGGTCAAATTAAAATCCCTTACCTGCTCAGACGCCAGACTGAGCTGAATCCAGTTCTCCAGGAATCGTATTTCGAGGGTCAATTTTAGTATCTATGCAGTATCACTTTGACACCATTTCACAGCCTTTTTATCTTGGGAGAGCAGCTGAACCAGATTTCACTGCCAGCATAAATAAATGAGGCTGGCATGGTTGCTCAATGCTTGTTGATCTGAGCCTTTCATATATTTAATCTTCACACATTGTTCTATCTGCCTTAATTCATCAATCTTAGCAATTTACTTTGCTTGACAGGTTTGTTTCACTGTTCTAAAAAAATGGACTCGTTGGCAGCATTAATTGATCAGTTGGTTTAGCCATGGTTGAGTTTACCCAACAGCCATTACCTAACCATTTACAGTAGTATACATGACCCAGTTCAGTATGTATATATGTATGTATGTAATTATGATAAATTCTGAGCTTAAGTTACTTCAGTTCTATTGTAATTCTGGCATTGTTGTTCTGTGGAAGTGTGAAAGAAGGAGCCCTCAGAATTCTTAAGATTCAAGTTCTTCTTTAGGACTGTTTTTTATTCCAACAATACAGGTGTTTACTCTTGAATGCATGAGTACAAGAGTTAGATTATACCTTATCCAGAAATGATTATTATAAAGTTTATTTTGCTTAGTGACCAAATAAAATCTGTAAGTGAAAAGTGTGGCTTAACAACTGAGCAGGTTGTGGATAACCAAGCACAATTAACTGTCCAAATTAACTGTCCTTGTGGAACAGACATCTTTGTAATTTCTTGTTATATTAATTCCCATAATAAACAAGTTGTTGCACTAGGCCATTTTAGTTTTTTTGATTGCACCAGAGTTTCATAATTGAAATATGAATAACTCTATGGTTATGTTTAGCCATTTTTGTTGGTGTCCGGTACTCATTGTTTTCATTTGAAAATAGGTGTTTGAGTTCAATTGTATCAAAACTGAGGACACAAATAAAATATAGTGCTAGTGAATTGTGCAAAAGAACGGTGAGAGTTAAAGAAATCATTCCCAATTCAAGTCCATATTTTTGAAGGGCCCTCTTGGGGAGGCAGATACACATCTTTAGATCACGGGATGTAATAACCAGATTTTTTCCCCTTGAATCAGCATTTTTTCCACCCATAGAAATAGATTACAAGATGCAGCAACAATTCTCTTTTCCTTTTTCTTGAGAGACAAGAAGTGGCAGAGCTACATGTTAAACGTAATTCATGTTGAGTCAGCCTGTATTCCCAATGAGGGTGTGTTTCCCACCATCTTACTCCTCTCCTGCCTGTCCCATGTTTACTTAAAGTTTAGCAATACCATGCAACATCAGAGTGGCTCTAATTTCCGATTATCTGGAACCAGAATTTGAAACCAGCAGTTTCAGGTTTGCAGTCACATTTTGCCTCATAAACCTTTTGAATTGGAACTTTGTGTATGGGAAAAGCATCCCTATGGTTTCCTGTAGAAACCCAGTTGTCTGGATTTGCAGATCCATTAGTACAATTTGCTTTAACAGTCTGTTGTGCACTCCTAACCAAGCCAACAAATTCCAGAAATTAACCCAGAGGGATTAGTTTAGCCTAAAATAGCTGAGGCACTTTGGGGCTCAGATAACTCAATCAATTGTGTCATCCAAATATGGATATGAAGGTTATCAGACTGTTAACTAGCCATTCCTGCATTTGAGACCAAGATATCCTAGAGCAGCCCCACATATGTGACACCTTGTTGCTCATCATTTCCCTCCTCCCTAGAGCATATGTTAAGTTTGCTATTATTTTAATTATTCTTCCAGGTTTCTCCACCAGGAAAAAAAAAACTCAGTGAAGGGCATTTCTTTAGAAGAATCAGTAGGTGTGAAAAAAAGTTAAGTCCTCACTGAGCTCCCATTTTCAAATGAAAATCTCTACAGTTATCTGAACATATTTATATTTTGGAAGCAGCAGATGCTGAGCTATTACCTTGGATTCTAGCAAAGGCTGTACTTCAGGTTTTTGCACAGAGTGCCATTTTGCTCTCCAGATGGACTACAAAGTACATTCCATAACTTTCCTGTTTTATTTGGAGGACCAATACCATTCTTTTAAATGGAGTGCAGCATGTGTCTGGGTATCTTAAGTGCAGTAGCAGCCTGGCGGTTAAAGCATAACTCAGTTAACTCTAATGCATTTTGAATGAAAGCACAGAGACTAACTGGTGTTTTAATATGGTGTTAATATTTCTCCAGGAGATGCAATTGGCTATTAAATCAGCCTTAAATGTTGCTGAACGAAGGAAAACTAAATGACAAGGAACTTCTTGGCATAATACTCCACACTGAACAGTTAAAGGCATATGGCTCTCTTCAATATCTGAAAAAAAAAAATCTTGCAGGAGTTTTCACCAGCCTCAAAATAACTGTAGTTCACATATATGCTGATTTTAAATTGGTGTTTTAAGTTCTTTTTTTCCCTGTAAAAGACCAGGCTTCTGTTGTCAACTGACCAGAAAAAATCCTGCTGTGACCTGTTTTGGGGTGTCTGTGTTTACAGCAGCTTGATTTATAAAAAAAGAACAATAAAAACAGAAAAGAGAAATCCTCTCTCTGCATGAAGCACATAATTATTACTTGCTAATGTCTGCAGACGGGTTAAAGGCACAAAAGTAGCAGCCAAGTGAAAAAGCTGAGCAACCTTCAGCCCGGAAAAATTCCATGGCTTGGATAATTGGATCTAAGAACTGCTTTGCTTTTTGATCCTGTCATGAATTATGCACAGATTTGTTAGGAAGGACTTGAAGGAACATAATTTCTTCCTCCATCTTTAGGCTGAATACAAATATAGTATTAATAACATTTGTGTCTCGGAATGTACTACCTGATTGTATCTGTGTCAAAGAAAGGTGTTATTCTGCCACTGCAGAGAAAGTCCCTGTAATAATTGAAATTACATAATATTATGCCTCAAAATGAATGAAGGGTCCTTGTTGTTTTGCTGGTCTGCCCCTCCACTCCATCAGCTGATTTCTTTCGGGGGGTGAATAGAGAATTGAGTATTTTACCAAGCAAAACCTATCCCCCCTCCTTCAATTTCTGCCCTCTTGGGAGAGAGCCAGTGCAGAGTAGCAGAACCTCTTGAAACAGTCAGGACTCTCAGCCTGTCCAGCAAAGGACACTTCACTGCCAGCAGTTAGTACCACAGTCCCCATTTCTTCAAAATTCAGTCTTTCTTCCCAAAGAATTTCCTGAAGACGGATTTGTTCTTCTGGCTAGGTGAAGCACCTTGGTTTTGCTCACCTACCATTTCTCGGGCTCCACCAGGAGTAGCTATGAAGGAGTGGCAACGGGGCCGGGGAGGAGTAGATGGAGTCTGCTCACCAATGTACAGAGTAACAGAGTAGTTGTTGGGTTCTTTAGACTTCGATAAAGGTGTGATCTTCTGATATGTAGCTGAAAGAGAGAGAGAAAGGAGAGGGGTCTTTATTATTTTTTATAATATCAATGGAATCGCCTGGCAAGTCCAATTTTAGTACTTGTGCCTTTTCACCAGGCCACGAATTATGAAAATTACATATACTGCACTCGCTTCTTTACTAGCAATTACAAAACACAGGACACTTGCATATGGCACTGTTTCAACTCCCCAAACCTTCTAAAGCATTTTGGACATGTGATCCCTCCTTCGCTAACTTTGGTAGATGAAGTAGATTGGACCAATCAGTGCTCCCTTCAAACTGATTGGAAGGAGAGTGCAAAAATCACCTGTCAGTGCCCCCCCATTAAAGTCAGGTGTCTTTTTTCAACAGGTTGAGTGCAGGGCTGGTATATATGTAGGGGGAACATGTAGTGGCTTGCTTGAGCACAGAGGCTGGGAGGCAAGGTGAATGAAGCAAGGCTTCGTACGAACCACTGATACAATCAGAGAAAAATCAAGCTGGGTAGTTTTATTTTCAGATGTAGTAAAACTGATTAGAAAGATCGGCTGATAGGGCTGCCTGTGAAGTCTACTAGCTAATCCTTGTCCAGGTGGCAGGAAGTAAGGCAGCCAAGACTTCCTTGAGTCAATGAGAAATGTCCCCAACAGCCGGTCCTCAAATCTTGTGGAGTTCTGTGATGACAAAATGAAAGTTGTGTCGATTCCAGCTGCTCTGAAGCCAAGTTGGAAGAAAATTGTCTTGGCTGTCCCAGTAAGATGACATTGAGGGAGGCGGCAATGTAGTAAAATGTTGGCAGAGTGAAGAGAGTCAGCAGCTCTACCTCTCATTTCAGCAAGGTTCCATTAAAGATGGAGTGAGGAAGCTTAAAGAGGGAGAAACTGGCTGGGATTATAGGGAGAAAATGTCAGTCTTCCCCTATTGCACTAATGATGTTACCTAGTTTGGGTAATGAAAGGCCTGCAAGAAAACAAGCAAGCTCAGAGAGCACCAAGGACCCCTCATTTCAACCCTGAGTTACAAATATTCTCCTTTATTGGAGCCTTCCATAGCCTGGAGCTCTCACTAACAGCTTGAGGACTATTATTCCCAAAATTCTCAGGCATCACAGACTGTACCCAATCAGGAAATGTCCACAAATATGGTACTACTTCCTTCTTCTCTTGATATCTGGAGTATTTCTAGTGTTCAAATTCAGCTTTGGGAATAGTGAAAAAGGAATGAATATCTGGCCTCTGAGAAACTTCAGGGTCCACTTAGTCTCCAGTCTGGGCCTGCTGACATCTCCTTCATACTTAGGACAATTACTTGTTGATGAGCATTTTGCTTTTCCATTACCATTAATCAGCTTTCAAAAATCATCTTTTCAAAATTGCCTCTGACAGTTGCTTCTGTAAGACATTTGTCAAGGTATAAAGATGCATTTGCCATTCAGGAATAGTCAAAATTCCTTTTATCAGAGGCAAAATACGTATCTTGAGAATTGAATGACTGAGCATATTATCATTCTGAAATGACAGTTATATGCATCTTGACAAAATTAAGATAGATCTGGATTTACTGATAAGTCTCTAGAGATCTGCAATTTTATCAATGATATTTCAATGTATTTCTTTTTCTGATTAAAAAAAGAAATTGACCATTTACTTTTTGGTTCTCGGCTCACAACCAATTGTTGGAGCAGAATTATTTAATTTTAAAGATATGTTTTCCATACTAGGCCCCAGTGTGAATCTAGTATTCCTCCTGTGTAAACAAAGTCTGCTCCATCCTGTTTAAAGCACATTAAAGTGTATTTCAAAATCAAACAAATGGATCTGACTCCCAAAGTGTGCTCCTGGCACCTAGTGGAGATTTTAAGCAATAAACTTGTTAGTTGAAAATAACCTTGACTTCTAACTGAAATGATATAGTCTGAAAATAGCATTATGATGTCATGTTAGTCACTGTAGACACATTTTAATGGCAGACCTTTGAACTGTATTTGAACATAAGGAAATGGGTTGAATAGCTGATTAGCTGTACAAACAGTTAGAAAGAGAGGGAAAAAATAGTCTTAGCAACACTTATTTATTTCTTTGACAGTGCCTATAGACAGTCATTCTAGCAATGCTGTGCATAACCAAATCAATAATTACACCTAATAACTCTGGGGGGGTATTTCTTTATAGATATGCATGTCACACCTGAGGTGAACGAATATGATCGCCTTTTGCTTGTCACCAGTCCACAGTCATCTTCCTGACAGAACGGAGTCTCTTGTGACCATGCTGACTCCAAAGGAGGAGAACACTGCTTTAGATTCTGTTCTGTGGTATAAATAGGTGCAGCTCTGAGGCCATTTCCTAGAAGGAGAGACACACCGCATTAAGGCTAAATATTTCAATCATGTATCTCGGAGGGCTAGTTGTAGCCTTTAAAGACCTGCCAGGGTTGGATCAGATGACCTGCTTATGTGATGTCAGATATTAGCTTTGGCACTGATTATGTAACCTTTACTGTGATAAAAACCAGGAAATAAGCTTAGGACATGTATGTGGGGGGGGGGGTTGCATGTGTGTGAATGGGAAAGACTGTGCTAAGCCATGATTTGGTTAAATATGATTAGCTAGCTCCACTCAACATATAAAACCAAACCAAAACAATCCACATTATAACTTAGTACAGTGGTGGCGAACCTATGGCACGGGTGCCAGAGGCGGCACTCAGAGCCCTCTCTGTGGGCATGCGCGCTGTCGCCCCAGTCCTAGGCCTTCAGCTGAGTTTTATAAAACCTTTTCGCTTTAGGCCTCTGCCGCCGTGTGCAAAAAAAAAAAAAAAGGTTCAATCAGTCAATTTCAACTTCTCCCAGGAAAAAAAAAAGATATTGCAAAGTTGGAATTGATTGATTGAACTTTTTAGTCCCACCCAGTCTGCCATTACTACCGCAGCCATGCCCACCCAATGGGCCACACCCACCCAATTGGCCACACCCAGCCAATGGGCCATACCCACCCGGCACTTGACGATGCATAAGTGGGTTTTGGGTTGCAGTTTGGGCACTCAGTCTCTAAAAGATTCACCATCACTAACTTAGTATGTTAAATAAAGCAAGAGATTACACAATCTGGGATCAGGGCAAGTGATAGCACTAATTTTAAAAACAAAAGGAAAAGAACCATGGTTCCTTTCGGTTCAGACATTGTGCATATGTGTGTGTACACAGTACACTACTTTGGTTCTTTTGTAGATAGAAGCTCTGTTTCTCCAGCTGTCAGCAATCACAGTTTGGGGGTTTGTTCATATACCGTAGATGTCTCTTCCTTGGAGGAAAAACCTCTGTCTCAGTGGATTCCTTTTAAACACTTAGTTCAGTCCAGCAAAGGACTGTGTGGAAATGGCCATTTCTGCTGCCTTTGCCAGTTTCTCCAAGACTTCAAAAGTCCAAAATAAATTAAGAAGATGCTTAAATGGGGTCTATGTCTTTAGTTCTTACCCTGTCCTCTACAGCTGTAGCATTTGAAGGATGCACTCATATGGTGCTTTGATTGAGAAAACAGGAACTTTTTACACTATATTTTATTTAAAGAACTTCTTTACTGGGTAGCTTAGCAATATTACTATACTAAAGATAAAGGCAGTGTCTTTCAGATCAAGATCAACTTTTGGTGACTTCATTGATTTTTGGCAGCAAGGCAGAAATAGTTCATCACTGTTTCCTTTAATGATGTTTGGGGTCTATACTTGTATCATCCCATCCAATTATTTACTAGACCCAACCTTGTTTAGTTCAGAGTCTGGAGGAGCCCAGGTTCTCTATCTGCTGATACTACAATAATAATCTACTGAGGTCAAGTCAGGAAAATGCTCTTGAAAATCTGCAGTTGAGCTCCATATTTACCTGTTGTATCCAGTGGTTCACTGCGAGCAATATAAGGCAACTGCAGCTTTATGCTTGGCTTGGGCAGAAATCTGATTTCATGACTCTTAGTTGGAAGCTTTTTCTGAAAGCTCTGGAAGTGGGAAACTCCTTGGCCAGCAATTGCACTAAAAAAAGGGGTGGGGGTGGAGGGTGGAAATAAGAAAGTGGATTCAAATCCGAACTTGCACAGTGCTATGCTGCATATTTCAGGCAATGCTTAATTGTAAATTGTCTTTTTCATAAAGCAAACAGAGCTGCTTTATTCATAGGCACCAGTTTAGGATATCTCAATTAATTTCATCTGGTCCACTCGCAGTTTTTATGTGGCTGAAAGTAAACCAGCACACTGCATGTTAATAAGAAGTGGGCATCAGAGATGCTTCAACAGTGAGAAATTGGTGAAGTGGGCACAGCAGCGCCTGCATTTTCTACGCCGCATGAGAAAAGCACATCTTCCTTCCCCTGTCCTGACCACTTTCTACAGGGGGAAAATCGAGAGCATCCTGTCATACAGCATCACAGTCTGGTTTGGAGGCATCACTGCTTCAGACAGGAAGGCGGTGCAGAGAGTGGTGAGAATGGCCGAAAAGATCATTGGCTGTTCCCTCCCTCCCATCCAGGACATAGCACAGAAGCGCTGCTTGAGCAGGGTGCGTAAGATTATCTGGGACACTACACATCCTCTTCACGACCTGTTTTCCTTGTTACCTTCTGGGAGGAGGCTTCGTACCAGAACATCCAGATTCAGCCATAGTTTCATTCCATACAGCATTAACCTTGTAAACTCTCAAGCTTCTTTTTCCGTTATATACTCAAGATGGACAGTATTTAATATTTATTGCTACATATATGTAGGGATGTGAGTCTATACATATGTTCATAGTATGTTTAGGTGTGTGTCATGTATGTGTTTCACTTTGAGAGCGGGCAACTAAATTTCATTTTTGATGTGTGCCATTGTGCCACAGTATAAAAATGACAATAAAGGTTATCTTATCTTATCTTATCTTATCTTATCTTATCTTATCTTATTAATGTAGAGGCTGGAGAGTCACACAGGAAGGAAAAAGCAAGGAAACTACAGTGATAATCTTAATTCAACTTGAACAAGATGCATTGCCAAATATTAAACTGTCATTAATCTAATCTCTGCAGATGTGCCAGACTGCAGTCCCCATCAGCTCCAGCTAGCATGGAGCTAGCATAACTTTACATTTAGGAATCCTAGAGCCTGGATATTCTCAGTACCTTGACACAGTATTGCATTTTTAAAAAGCAAGCACCAAAATATTTATAGGAATACTGTATCAAGTTTGTGAATTCTCAAAAGCTTTCTGCACTCTCCTCTGCAGTATTGTAGCCAGGTTGCTTGAACTTCTTACCTAACCACAGAGGTCATCCCTTGAGCAGGCTGGGAAGATGATGGGAAGAAATCCATTTCAGGTAAACCTTGGAGCATATGAAAGCAGTCATTTCAGATATCACATTTTAAAATAAAACCATTCAAGTAGTTTAAAAAGAGGTCTCATATCCAAGCAAACCTAGGACAGGTCTACTTCTTACACTTCAGAGCAAAAAAGAAAAGCAAGAAAGAATAGAGTGCTATAGTCTCTCTGATAAGCATATTGGAATGATTCATGAATTTTAAAGCACTTTCATTCCTCTTTACTTTTGTAGTTTGACTCAAACATGAAATGTGCACAGGTGCCCATGTATGAGCCACTGCTGTTATACCGTTACACACAAGGAGCTGAGCCTAGGAGATCATTTTGTTTTAGCTTCATCTCCCACAAATAAATCCCAATATTTTAGTGAATTTTCCCTAAAATATTAAGATTAGCCCATGTTACGATCTTAGGTTTGACCCAGGTTCAATGAGATACATAGTGAGGGAAGATAAAAGTTGTTGTTAGATGACCAAACTTTTCTCTGCTTAGGCCAATTTCTATATTCAGTCTTACCTGAGTTTTGCTGTAATTTGGTGACCCATTCTTTCATGAGTGGTTCAGTTGGAGCTCTGAGAAGATACTTGGAGCCATCACTCAACCTAGACATGTGTGAGAGAAAAAGTATTATGGTATCAAACTTCCAAGGTAGATCAGATTAGGAATTCATTGTTAAGTAAATCAGTACTACTTATTGTAAAGCTATAGTAAAAAAATCTTATAAGTCTGAACGTGCTTCCTCCTCTGTCCCTTCATCTTCATGAGATCTAGGGAGGGTCTTGTCTGAGATGTTTACTTAGGATATTTTCCTGCCCTGGACTCAGTCCTCTTTTATCTGATTGTTGTCTTGGTAGTGGCTCTTCTTCCTGTCTGTCAAGGCCATTCCCTCTGCCTTCTACATATGGTGTTGTAAAGAACACTGTATAATTTTGGAGACTGGTCTAGACAACTCCATAGAATATTTTCCAGTACTTTCTAATCCTAAGACACCTGTCAATAGAACTATTAGATGATAGCTGCTACATTCCAGATTTCACTGGGAATTAAGACATAAGTAATAGGTAGAAATAACTTATCTACCTTAAACATTACTACCAGTTAAGAGATGGGGATGATTGAAAGTTGTATGTGAAGAGGAACCAATTTGTGCTGGAATTCTGAAAAAAAAAAGTTGATTCTGCTCTCTTCAGGAAATTCATTGGCACTATGGGTTGTCCTAGAAATCTGATGGGGAGTGGAGGTATGACAAACTGCTTGTGTCCTTCCTCAGCAACTGAACACAGTGAATGCGTTCCACTGTTGGCATATTGGGATATCTACAAAAATTATATAAAGGACAGCACCTCTTCCAAATGCCCAGTCAGAGAATGAAAATTTCCAAATTCTATCGGTACATATACCTGAAAGTACCAAATGCATCCAGTTACCTCATACAGAAGTGGAAAAACTGATGCTACTCACTGTAATGTGAAACAATTGCTCTTTTTGGTGTATTCTGTTTCCAGGGTGCAAACAGCTCCAGACAAGTTCAACGGTAAGGCCGTCACAGAGCTCTGCTATGCAAAGAAGGCAAACATAAAGTCCCCACACTTGAAAATATTGCTTCTAATTATAGCTATGGCTAGTACATATTTAATCAAGAAAAAGCTTAAATGGCAAACTGAAGAAAGGAATGATCCAGGATTCTGTTTCTGCATTTCTATTGATTCAGACCAGGGGTCTCCAACCTTGGCCACTTTAAGACTTTTGGACCTCAACTCCCAGAATTCTTCAGCCAGCCCTGTTGGCTGTGGAATTCTGGGACTTGAAGTCCACAAATCTTAAAGTTGCCAAGGTTAGAGACCTCTGATAGACACAATGTAAAATGCAAGGATCTCTTGGTGATCATGTTCACTCTTCTTGCTTAATGGATCAACGTCATTATTCTAAGAGAGCCTATGCAGGTGCTTCTATTCTATGAAAGTTTTGTGAGTTTTAATCACTGCTGTTTATAATTGCAATTTAGGTTCAGTTTCAATGCAGCTATGGGTACTTTGTATTCTGTTACGCTTCGTGATCATACTAGGATACACGTCATTTTAAGTTTTATTTTGGAAAAAAATGCTGTTTATTTCTATATCTAAGTCAACAAAAACAGTATAAAGTGTTCTCAAGTAGATATATTTAATGACCTTGTTCATGCAGAAGTCATTGGGTGAAGGATTATAAAGGATATAAAATGGCGGAGAAACAAATTCAAGCAGAATTGAAAAGGAGAACCTCTGTTAAATGTTTGGCAGAGACTTTTTTATATTATACCTATTCCATTTCTCAAGGAGAAAATCTATCTATGTGATTGCTAGGGGTACAAAAAGACTTGATGATGGCATATAATCAATCGTGTGTTTTTTTCTCTCTCTGTCTCTTTCACCAGCAATTACCTTGAGGGTATCTTTCTTGTCCTGGTAAAAACACAAAGTTTGCCTCATCAGAACTGTATGAAATGTGTTCCAGGAGCGGCTATTTGCCTGAAAGAAAAAAAGGCCAAGCTCAAATCTAAAACAGATGAAGATTGGTCTGAACATAAAGTAGCACAAGTATGAAACCTCTTTTATCCAAACTTGCTTTTAGAATACAGGTAGTCCTCGACTTACAACCATTCGTTTAATGACCAAAGTTACAAGGCACTGCCTGTGGAGATTCTCGGTCATCCAGGTCAGGGTTATCCCAAAGGTACTTTTTTAAGAGGACCACTGGTTCGAAAGAAGGGTCAAAGAGGCCATCTAAGTCAAAACTGAACAGCCATCTCTCAACAGAGGGGGAGGGATACGATATCATCTACCTCCAGTCTATAACACAGTCCTTTCAACAGTTCCAAGAAGGCTCCACACCCATTTGCATTACTCAGGTGATCCTAACGACACAAATAAACCTCCAGGTGGCCTCAACGACTCTCTAAAAAATGCAAATTACCAGCTATCTGCAAGGAATATAAATCCTTCCATTCCCCACCATCCAGTCAGAGCTGAAGAAGCTTCTTAGGATGAGAAGTGAAAACAAGAAAGTCCAGTTGCCTCTTGAAAAAGCATTCTTGGGATTATAAAGCACTGAAAAAAAAAAGAGTTACGTATGACCTGTCCTGGCACTTGTAACCTTTGCATATCCCCACAGTCATATGGTCATATTTTGGGTGCTTGGCAACCAGCATATATTTATGATGGCTGCAGCATTCTGCAGTAACCTGATCAGCCCTTGGGACTTTCCCAGCTGGCCTCCAACAAGCAAAGTCAATGGGGGAAGCTGGATTTGCCAATGACTATGTGATTCACTTCACAACTGCAGTGATTCCCTTGACAGACCTGGCAAAAAATATATTGTAAAATTAGGAGCTTAGCAATGGAAATTCTGGTCCCAACTGTAAGTCATAAGTTGAGGACTACCTATAAACTCTTTCCTAAAACATGGGTCAACAGAAACAACCAACGTCAGAGAGCTCCTTCAGGACACGAAGAGCTATATAATTGGCACCAAGCAAATAAAGTATGGGTGATTCCCTGGTAACAATTTCCTACTCCAGGTCTGGTTTGAATCAAACTAGTTTTTAACCTTATTTTAGCTGACAAACTATGGATTATATTTATCCTGAAAACTCAGATCATTTCTTACTTTAGTTTATATTTGAATCATCTCATTGAAACACTGGAAGTTTCACTCCAACACTGGAAGTTTTTAAGAAGAGACTGGACAGCCATTTGTCCGAAATGGTATAGGGCAGTGCTTCTCAACCTTGGCCACTTGAAGACGTCTGGACTTTAACTCCCAGAATTCCCCAGCCAGCCCTGCTGGCTGGGGAATTTTGGGAGTTGAAGTCCTGACGTCTTCAAGTGGCCAAGGTTGAGAAACACTGGTATAGGGTTTCCTGCCTGAGCAGGGGGTTGGACTAGATGACCTCCAAGGTCCCTTCCAACTTTACTACTACTACTACTACTACTACTATTAAAAACTTTTGGAGCTGTATCAATGTTACTGACAACATATCCCTACAAGATTAGATGAGATTGTTTCAATGTGGCAATTGACAACCGGTAGTTGTTTGGATCTGCAGACAAGCATCAGCAAGAAGTAAAAAAGAAATCAACATACTTTCCCTTTCTCTATATAAATACCTTTCTGCCCCCTGCCTGCAACAGGTTCTTTCTTTCCAGAGGTCCTTCCATCATCTGAAGTTCCAATTTACTTGGAAGAGTCTAGAAAAAGACAGATGATAATATACAGTCTCCTAAAAACATTTTTTTAAAAAAACCCCAATCTCTTGCAAAGGAACTCAAGGCATTTTTGTATCACTTTCCCCAAAATGTAGCCAAAGGATGAGAGAATGTTTTTTTTTTCTAGCCAAACTTGCTACAATACTAACCTTAGCTTAGTTAAGTAAGTAGATTCCAGGTGTGCTTGTCTACCATAGCTATCATCTTCCAGCTACATGGAATGGGCCAAATTGACTGGCATTGATGAAAATCACACTCAGACACACCTGTAAGGCTCAGTATTAACAGCAATCTACTTTAAAAAGTGTGAGTCTTGCATTAGTGAGAAGATAAATCTATCAATTCTTTTGGGGACATTTGAAAAAGAACTGCAAAAGTTTAAATGTTAGATAAAACAAACTTTCTAATATAGTTTTTCCTATCCCACCCCTTGAAAGCCAATCATCCTCACCTTGCAAACACTTTTGCTTTCTTCTTGGAATTTCTGTTGATCCGCTGGACATATTTTTTGCAGTGACAATTCTCCGGGTGAAGCTGCTGCCTCTTTATTTAGCTCCTGGCAAATAGATATATCTGCTTTGCTGCACTGATTTGGTCCGTTTTTCCTCTTGTCAACCCCAAGACCGGTCCTTCTTTCTCCTTCTGAATTCTGTAACATTTCAGCAGAAGTGGGAAGCTTGAATTTGGCTATCAACCAATTATCTGCAGATGTCAGGAGAAGCTTCCCACCTGAACTGCCCAGGCTTTGTTCTTTGTCCTTTTTTCTCCCTGGGTCACCAGGGACATCTGACCCTTTTTTATGCTTCTCCATATTATTCCATATGGCCTGCAGCTCTTCTTCCTCCTCCTCAAACATCTCATGAGCAGGGTGACGAACCTCTACTGCCATGTCTTGCAACTTTGTTCCTTTGGCTACCTCTGCCCATGGAGTCAAATTGAAAGGGCAAAGTTCTGGGTTACTCAGAGTGTTTTCCTCATAGCCCAACTCGCAATCAAGCTTAGAAGGTTCGGTGGGGGATTTATGTCCCAAGTGCAGAAATGAAGGCGGGTGTCTTGACATGCTTTCTTCCGAGCACTGGGCATTTTCTTTTTCTGGTGTCTCGTTCACTAAAGGATCTTTAATTCTGGTTAGATGAGAAACTAAATCAGGGTTGCTTGTAGATTCAGCAGAGGAAGGCTTCAATTTCAACCTCAAAGCCTCTTGAACTTTGACTCTCTTATCATCTACACCTTTTACTTGCTTCTCTTTGGAACTACCCATTCTACTCAGCGAGGCAGCTAGTTTATCCCATTCCAAACCTATCTGCTCATGCAGTCCACCGATATGAGATGGTTTATTCTGCTTGAAATAAAAAAAATCATCACTGGAATTGTTTTGACTTGTAGGATGCAGCCTCACCTCTTCAGTAGAAGCAACAGAGTAAGCTTTCTGCCTACCATGGGTTGGGTTGATGTTCACTTCTTCAAACCAAGTGCCTTTCTTAGTCTTGGGGAGCTTATGAGAACCATCCTCTACTCTCATGAGCTTTGAATGCATTACTCGCTGTCCTCTTATGGTTTCCTTCTCCAGGCTGATACTGGTCTCAGGTGACTTTGCCTCTTCTGTACTTCTTTGGGCCCCTTGTTTCACCTGGTTTTCTCCCTTCCTTTCTGCTAGCTCTTTCTTTGCTACCTTGACAATGTCATGGACATTTCTAAGAGCACTGAGGTCCTTGGGAAGTTCCAGGCTCAAAACAGATCCCAGGGAAAGATGCTGACACGCGTTCATCTTTTCTGTGGATGAGTGGTGACTATGGAGACTTTTGTTTTGTTTCTGGAATGTGCACTTTCCAGATGTTTCTCTAGCTAAATCACATTCGGCATCAATAGCCCATTCTAGTGGATTCTTCACATAATCCATCAGCTCTCTTTGTGGTAAGGACAATGCCTGCAGGACTTGCACCCTCCGGCTGCATCGAGGTGGCCAAGTGCTATGCTTCCCTTCTTGCAGACAGTTTGCTTTTGTACCCATAATCCTTTGCGATGTGAGCCACTGAATATCTCCTGCTCTTGCTTCGGCTTTTCCGTTTGGGCTTTTTGAGGAGCAGCTGGAACTAATCTTGGGGAATGTGTGAGAGGTTGCTTTGCTCCATTCTACCCTGGAAAATGGGAAAGAAGGAATTCTGGGAGGCTCTTGTTTAACGGATTCTGCTATGAAGGCTGAATTTCCAAAGTTGGCATCTTGATTTCTACATCCATCTTTCTCCTTTACATGTAGATAGGTGCTCACCTGTAAAACATAGTAAGTGAAGTAAAGAACATCTCTGAGCTGCATGAAGCTGCCGGAGTCTAAACCAACTATTTAGGATAGCACAGCAGCAAACTTGCATTCATACAACCTTATTTAAAGGCATGCACTGGAACATGCTTTCTTCTGCCAAATGTTTATTCGCTCTTCACTGAAAGACCCATTCATGCAATTCATGGACAATGCACTTCAGGTTTATTAATGTTCTCACCAACTGAAACTCCAGCTATTCTAGTTTATTTCATTTTATTATTCCAGGCTTTTCAGGAAGGGAGGAAGTGTTGGGCAGAACTTAAATATAGAGGAACCATTACTAAATGCATCTCAAAGCATTTAAATATAGATGATGTACTACCTACTTTCAATTCATTTCAACATTCAAACTATCAACAGAGTATTACAAACATCTAATGGGTTAAGTTAAAGTGATTAGCTGAAAGAGGCATTGGCCATTTTCCAGAAATAAAATAATTTCTCCTGTCCATATCTTAGCTCAAAATTCAGTATACTGCAGGACTCATTTCTTGATTCTTTTTCCTTTGCAAACCCATTTACTCCTTCATACTGGGATATAAATTACATAATGTTCCTCTTCCTAGTATATCTTCTGTGAATTTGTAAGTCTGCATAGGTGACACCAGTCCATCATTTTCAATAGTTATACAGAACAGAGAACCTTCATAAATGTAGGGACTAACAGCAGAAACTGTGTAGGCTTCAATTATTGAAGATGCAAAATGTCCAGGAGAACAGCATATATAGAGCTTGGTTAAAATACAACATACAGTATTTAAGAGCCTTGGTGGCACAGTGGTTAGAATTCAGTATTGCAGGCTAACTCTGCTCACACTGCCAAGAGTTTGAATCCTTACAAGGTCAGTAAAACGAGGACCCAGATTGTTGGGGGCAATATGCTGACTCTGTAAACCGCTTAGAGAGGGCTATAAAGCACTATGAAGCAGTATATAAGGCTAAGTGCTATTGCTATTTAAAGTCCTATGGGAGCAGTTTTCATAGGACATATTAGAATATGAGATGGAAACTTTAATGCAACTGTTATGTATTCATGCCTTTATACACTGTGCCCTTGGAAAAAGTGCCTGCCTGATTCCTAACATGGATAACCATAAATCAACGCAGGAGTTAGCTATGAGGAGTAGCAATGAGCTAGTTAGTCAAGGACCTTGCAACATGCAGCCATGTGCTCTAACATGCAACCCTGGTCCTCACTCCTTCATTCCTACCTCACAGCAATTTTACCTCTTTCACATGCTGATGGTACAGCCTTTTCTTTCTCTTTAAACTACCCAAAGTATTTCCTAAAAGTCCCTGGCAACGTTTCCAAAATGTTTTACAGGCTGAGGGTTTAATTTCAGAGAGCTGGATATTAGGAAAGAAACAAAAATGGAAAGTGAAGGAGTAGTAACAACAACCTACAACAGCCAGCAGAGAAATGAAAGTGCAGAAAGTCAGTTGGTGCCACATAAAAAGGCTGCTAGATGTAGGAATGGCAGCTGTTTATGTAAGAAGCAGAAAACAAAGCTAGCTTCCTTGATCCATACTGCGTTATTGGCTCAGTCATGAAGTTCCAAATTTTCCACTGATGTTAGGTGCTCCCCGACTTGACATTCTTAGTTGGAAATTTTCTCACATTAGAAATTCTTACCTCCCATCACTCTAGAACGATGCATTCAGGAACTTTTAAGATGTGTGAACTTCAACTCCCCAAATTCATGCTGGCTAGGGAATTTTGGGAGTTAAAGTCCACACATTTTAAAGTTGCCAAAGTTGGAAAAACAGTGCTGTAGAGGCAGTGTTACATTTATTGAATTTGACAATTAAGCACATATATCTCTTTGGCAAGGAAATGTCCGTGCCTTACCTTGTGTGAAGTCTCTTGTTCTGCAGTTGGTGAAGAGGCAGTCTGGCTTCCTGCAGCCTTTGTCTGCCCTTCCTTTTCAATGCTCAAGATCAAGCTCACCGTGCTCCCCAAACTGCCAGGGGCTGCTTGTGGCAAAAGTAACACTGGGGTCTCTGAGGGTTCTAGAACTAGCGTTCCCTTGGGGACGTCCACCTCAAAGGGTAAACCATTTCCTGATTCTTCCAAGCTCTGTTTGTACCCTGGAAGAACATTTAGTGCAAATGCAGTGGAGACTGGTTCATTGTGTTGTTTATGGTACTCTCCTGCTGAACATTTCGTTAACACCTTAGAGTTCAGGATACCATCTGTTTCAATCACATCAGCTCTAGAATCGAGCTCAATCTAAGGAGTAAGAAAACACAGTAAATAAGCTGCATGGATAATTTATTCATTTTCTTCCTTCAGCTTGAATGCATTGTTGTTATTTCTGAACTGGGATCTCCTTCCTTCTTGACTGTACAGGTTTCTATGCATTAAGTGACTATGAACTGGACATAAGATCATGGCCTATTCAGAAAATTAGAATGTGTTTGTAAATCCTGCCATCATTATTGAATCTGGGGAAAGGATTGGTTCCTCATTCTGTGTTGTGGTTGGTTCACACAAAGGAGGCAAAAGACCAGCTGGGCAAGTCTGCTGCAAATTTGGAGACCACCCACTCAAGTGAACAAGTGCCTTACATATGAAACTAGGCTATTTGCCTCAATCTCCTGTGCTAGAGTTTTTCAGGAGGAAAAAAAACCCCCAGCAACTGAAAATCTATTCTGATGGCAAGTATCAAGCAACAGCTCAATTTACCTAAATATAATAGGAATGGAGACCACAGAGAAAAGTTCCACTGCTGTATTGATTCTTGGAGAGTTTTAATCTGAATGTGCTATGCTTATTTTACTTAAAATAAGCATAGCAAAACCTAAATGGGAAAACTCCAACATTGGAGAAAGGGAGCAAATAGACACAGGGCACGGTCGTTGCTCTTCTTATTATTGGAAAGGAATCAGATTAAGGAATGGGAGTATGAGAGCCAAGATGATGGTTATTTAAAAATCTTAATATAGTCATAATTATACTTTTAAGGGCTTCTTCAGTGATGTTTTGACAACTTCTCAGTCTAGCCCCCAGTTCTCAACTCTCCATAGTCACTATCCAAGGCTGGTCCAGATTGCTTTCTTCCTTAAAACAGAATTATCTCCTTCCAAGTCTTAACAAGTACAGGTGAGCAAAGGGCCCTGAAAAGAATTGCACATTCCTTCCAGTTTCGTAAAGACTTTAAGAGACCAGAATAAATTTGGTTGGAAAGGGGAAGAAGGCAATAAAAAGGATCCAGGTGATTAGCTCCTGCACTTTCTCTACAGCAGCATTTTTTAAAAGGATGTAAGCACAGCCATGAGACATAGAATATCCATTTCTATTTTTGGTAACAAAACATCGATAGAGCTACATATATACTTTGGGCAGATGTCCTCATCTTTATCAAAATAGAGTGGACTGGTACTTTGTCTATACATCCTAGAATGAGAAGCTGTTGCCAAAGCAACAGAATTGGGTTATTTAAGAATTCTGAGCCCTGCTGGTGATACACTGGACTTTTTTTTTTTAATATAAATCCAGATGCATACTGCATACTGCAGTCATGATTCACTGCATACTATGAGTCCATTATACTGATCCAAACACAAGCCTATGTATTTGGGGCAATATTCTAAAACCAAATTGTTGTCTTGTATCTCACCCCTCTGCCTAGATCAGGGGTCTGCAACCTTGACAACTTTAAGACTTGTGGACTTCAGCTATGCTGGCTGAGGAATTTTGGGAGCTGAAGTCCACAAGTCTTAAAGTTGTCAAGGTTGCAGACCCCTGGCCTAGATAGGTGCTTTGATTGGTGGAGCCAATCAAAAGAAATATTGAATCAGAACATCTAGATCTGGTCTAGATAACGTTTTTGCAGTTAAATCAGGAGCACTTTTATGTCGCCACTGTTTTCACTGTCAGTGTTCTCAGAAGTTTGAAGGTGACCCATCTTTACTTTTGCCCATTTGAAAGGCTGAGGACAAGAAGTGAAAATTGTTTCCCCATCTTGAGCTGTTCTATGTCCTCATGTATAAGCAGACAGCTGATGGCATGGACAACAATCTGATATATTAACTGCAGATTCAATATTGATGGCAGAATTTACAAATACAAACATGAATTCATGAATACTTCTCTAGTTCACTTGCATCACAATCCAGTGATACAAATCAGAGAAAAAGATAATAAAGTTAAATAATAAGGAAACTTCAATCCTCCCCCTTGGTTGCACAAGACTGTCTTCATCTTTTCCCCAGTCCATAAATAAAAGTTCCTATTTGTAACAAAGGCACTCTAGAGGCATACTAACTTGAAGGTTCTGAGGCACGTTTAGAGTGCTATCCCGAGTCTCTGGCTCATCATTCTGGTTTCCAGGGTGCCTTGGGGAACACTGTGCTTGATACCGTACCATTACCCATCCCAGCATGTTCTGTAGCTCCTCCATTCGCTCCTTTATCTAAAGGCAGAAAAAATGTGAAAGAGGAGGGGGAAAAACACCTGAAATGCCATATTACAGTATCTCTGAGACTATTTCCTTTCTCTTAAATATTGGTTTCCCTATTCTTAAGGACGCCAGGTAGATTAATAGATTTGTACCTGTCCCTTTTCATTCAAAGAGTTTAACCATTATATCCTACTTATTTGTCCAGTTACCCCAATAAGGCCTGCTGAGAGAATCTATCATTTCATCACAAAAACCACTGCGACCTTAATGATGAACAACTATTGGTACTTCAAGGATAACTGCAAAAGTTCTGTAGATCATAGCAAGCTTCATCAGAACCATGGAACTGATGTTTCATATATTTTATGCATTAAATTATTAGAGAAAGGAAACACGATTAGCACAACTCTTTGAACTCTCCTCAAATGTTCACAAGAGAGAAACTCCTTTTTCATCTTTTACAGACCTCTTGCACTTGTTTTAGCAGACAAGAACAGATATTCCTTACAGTTAATCTCATTTTTCATTCTAATTGAGAGGAATGAGCCCCTTTCAATGTTTCCTGTAATGTTGCTCCCTGTTCTCAGCAGCTACTCTATGTGTGATCTTCTTTAGTTGCTTCTTCCTGTTTTAGATTCTTTTATTCCCAAACTTTTCCTATAGTGCTACTCAGCTGATTTTCTGCTGCTGTTTCCCCTTGCAATCTGATCTGTGACCAACTCTAAAACCTGTCCTTTTGCTTTCCTCTCAAACTCTTGACTTAGTTTCACTCTACCAACAGAAGAGAATTTCTGTAGCTCAGGGTTGAACTGTGGAGTCCTTGGTGCTCTCTGATCTTGGTTATTACCAAGGACCACATAGCTTCACTCTATTTCAGGGGTCTTCAAACTTGGCCCTTTTATGACTTGTGGACTTCAACTCCCAGAATTCCTCAGCCAGCGTGGAATAAAAGGGCCACGTTTGAAGACCCCTGCTCTATTTCTTCCCAAATATGCTCTCAGAATTGAAAAATAAATAAATCTTTGATATCCTTGATCCCAGTCATTGCTCTGAAACCATTTCTTTCTCCCACTTCTCCAAAATCAGCTATAGGAAAACTTGAACTTTCTTATGAAATCAAAGCAATTAAAATATCTATTTGAAACTTAGCATGTTGATCCAGTGCAATAATGATTACAAACCACACTGAGGGCTGTGATTACATTTGTCTGCTTGTACCATGGACTGTGTTTAGTTCTTTCACTTCTGTAGAGGGCAACATATATTTGCAGAACTGAATTTCATCTCTCATTTTAAGGTCTAGGTTTAAATGATAGGTGTGTCCATCCCACCCCACCTGTGCTGCACTTCCCCACTGGAGTAGGTTCTCCTTACTGGCTCAAATAGCAGAAATTGAGAAATTTTTTATAATTAATACCATAATATTATTTTCTGATCATTTCAGTGATAACTAAGTGAATACCTCACTCATAAGATCATGTTACTGGACCTCTCTAAATCAGAGATAGCAAATAGGTGCTCTAGGCAACACTATGAGGTTTTTTTTAAATTGCTCACTGGATTTCTTTATGTGAAAAAATGCTTCAAAGGGTGTGAATTGGATATAATCTATAATTAACATTATTATCTCTCTCTCTCTCTCTGTCTCCCGAGGATTTTAACCCATCTGGGCCTGAGAATACATACTACCTAACTGGAAAGCATTTGCTACTGGATGAAGCTAATGCCCAGGAGGGAGCTGTTTAATGGTGCAAAATATGTCCCTAATTAAGAGCAGTCCTGAGAAATCTATGAAAACCATTATCTACTGAAAGCCATTAGCTGCTCTGAGCCACTAATTCATAAAGATGTGCATATCTAAAAAGCTACCATGATCTTTTTCTGGGCTTAAATACTGATTTCGTAAATTACCTAAAATGATATCTCCATTGACAGCCTGTGGGATGTGTACATCCCCTCTCACACTTACCGTTTTACTCAAGCAGTGTCCTTCAGTTACCAGGTCCCACCCTGATGCTGCCAGCTCTTCAAATTCCTTGAACTTAGCCTCCATACTATCCTTCAGATTCTCCCAGGGGGCTTCTGAAAGGCCTTGAGAATTCAGATTCTCTGAGAAAATTTGTGCCCGGGTGTCCTCTGTCCAAGAGCTAGAAAATCAAGTGTGTGAGGACAGCTGTGAATGCAACTAGAAGAAATAGGTCTTCATACCTGCCTAAATATAGCCAATTTAACTTTCCATTGCAAAAGTGGAGAGAAGGTAGAATAAAACAAAAAGGTAGATTTCTGGACGATGTCAGAATAGCAGCAGCAATAATATCAAAAACCCTCAATGACTTTGTGCACCAAAATTTGTCTGCTGAATGAGGAAAGCTGGAAGTAAATAGGGAATGGATTAGGGGGTGGAAAATGCTGCATGTTCAATGTAATCCTGGTACTCAAAATGTACTCTTAGGCTTTGGGGTGGACTTCCATCAGTACGCTGATGATACTCAGCTGTACATTTCCACCCCGGGCCACCCCAATGATGCCCTTGACGTGATGACCCGGTGTCTGGAGGCCGTAAGGGTCTGGATGGGGAGAAACACACTCAGGCTCAACCCTTCCAAGACCGAGTGGCTGTGGCTACCGGCGCCTCGGCATAGTCAGCTGATTCCATCGCTGACTATAGGGGGCGAAACTTTGGCTCCCTCGGAAAGGGTACGCAATCTGGGTGTCCTCCTGGACCCACGGCTGACACTGGAAGACCAGTTGGC